AGGATTTTGATAGGTTGCATCCTACGTTCTCTGCGGATCCTCAGAATGTAAGGCTAGGGCTTGTCACAGATGGTTTCAATCCATTTAGACATATGAGTACATCGTATAACATGTGGCCTGTAATCTTAATGCCTTACAATCTACCCCCATGGAAGTGTATGAAAGATCCATTTGTCATGATGTCATTGCTTATTCCCGGACGATCCGCACCTGGAAGTGACATCGATGTTTACTTGCAACCATTAGTAGAAGACTTAACTAATTTGTGGGAGCATCGTGTGCAAACATATAATGCCTCAAATGGCCAAATATTTACAATGCATACAGCAGTCATGTGGACCATCAATGACTTTCCCGCATATGGTTCCTTGTCTGGTTGGAGTACAAAAGGTTACTTGGCCTACCCTAATTGTAACATGGATGCATCATCTCAGAGTTTGCGAAGTAAGATAGGGTATATGGGTGCTCGACAGTACTTACCTGAGAACCATAATTAGCGAAGAAGTAGGCTATTCAACGGTGAAATTGAGAATCGGTCCAAACCGGTGGAGTTATCGGGAGAACAAATACTGGAGCAAATTAATTTGGGGACGTACAAGTCGTACGGAAAGCATCCAACCAACCAAAAAAGACAAAGGATTGAAAAGCCAACTCCAAACTGGACAAAAAGAAGCATTTTGTTTGACCTACCCTATTGGAAAACACTTAAGCTTCGACATAACCTTGATGTCATGCACATAGAAAAGAATATATGTGACAATCTACTTGGGACACTATTGAGCATAGATGGCAAGAACAAGAACACAGACAAAGCACGTTTAGATCTGGAGGATATGCGAATACGAAAAGAGTTACACTTGATAAGGCATGCGAATGGCTCTTTCGAGAAGCCCCTGGCATTGTACACATTGTCCCCAGCAGAGAGACAAGGGTTTTCTGATTTCTTGAAATCGATTAAGTATCCTGATGGCTATGCGGCAAATGTATCCAATTGTGTCACCGGGAATGGTAGTAAGTTAGTTGGCCTCAAAAGTCATGACTGTCATGTCCTTCTACAACGACTTCTTCCCATTGGGATGCGAGGATACCTTCCTACCGAGATTGGGACCACATTGTTTGAGTTGGGAACCTTTTTCAAACAATTGTGTTTAAAGACATTGCGGGTGACTGATATGGAGAAATTACAAGAACAAATTGTACTTATACTTTGTAAGCTTGAGAAGATTTTTCCTCCTGTTTTTTTTTTTGATGTCATGGTCCACTTGGAAATTCATTTGCCTTATGAGGCTATGCTTGGAGGGCCTGTGCAATATCGATGGATGTAATATTGAGAGGTATAACTACGAGTCAAAACTTTTTTCATGTAATTATAGTTCAATATGACCATACTGACGATCAGGCCGATGTTTACATGTAGGATGCTCGGACTTCTTAAAGGATTTGTGGGCAACAAAGCTCGGCCAGAAGGTTCCATTGCAGAGGGCTACATATCGAAAGAGTGCACGACGTTTTGTTCAATGTATTTGGATGGAGTTGAAACGATGTTTAACCGGGAAGAAAAGAACTATGATGGGGGTGACAATGGCTCGGGGTTGGTGATTTTTCACTCAAAATGTTCGTCCTTTTGGTCAACTCCCAAGGGCAACGGGTAGCTTCCTCATGTGAAATAGGACCTGTGGGGACAGACAGGACATAATTAGCACCTTCATCATATATGCAACATACCTTTCCTACATGGTTTTTATTTTTTAAAGTCTTCATTATTCTAATTACTTATGACGTACTTCGTATTAACTAGGGAACACAAGCTCGTGTTGCAACAAAAATATGGAAGTTCATGCAACATTGCAACGCGACAATGCAAAGAATTTCCTAAATGGTTCAAAGCTCGCGTAAGATTATGTACCGTGTTACTCTAAAGTGTGGAGCTAACGTTGAATTATTCTAACTTTGAATTGACATGACATACTTTCTTCTGTAGATGAACCAGTTGCGAAATGAAAACTCACCCGAAGCAACCGATGAGATGTGGGCATTAGCCAATGGACCTAATGCCTTAGTCAATACATATTCGGGATGCATTTGTAATGGCGTCTGATTCCATACTATCGACCGTGATAACCATCATAAATGTCAAAATAGTGGGTTGGTAGTGGAAGGCGACCACGAAGGCCAATTGATAAAGTTCTGCGGCTACCTTTGTAAAGTGTGGGAACTGACATATTTGTTTGGACATCGGGTTGTTTTGTTCCAATGTGAATGGTATAACACCGGTAGTAGTCGAACTTTGCGCGTCAAACCACATGTGACAACTGTTGATGTAAGAAGTCGATGGTATAAAAGATGACTCGTTTGTGTTCCTAAGCCAAGTTCAACAAGTTTTCTATGTTCATGATACGAAGTTATGGCTGAATTGGCGAGTCGTAGAAAAGTTTCAACATCGACGACTTTGGGATGTGCTAGAGCTGGATGTGCCAGAATTTGATGAAGTGTTGCAAGAAGATGAAACCACTACTATTGTACCAACTGAGCCTATTGATGATGATGTTGTTTTGCATCGGGATGACATTGAACCTGAAATTATTTCAGTGGAAGTTTCTCAGTCCAAAAAGCGTGTACAACCCGAGGGTGCTATGGATGATGCTTTCATCTGTGATGACGATGATGAACTAACAATCATGGGTGATGACGAAGAAGAAGATGAGATAGAAAGTGATTTTGATACAGATACGGACCTAGAGTTTTAACTCACTTTGTGGTAAAATTACTTTATGTGTTCTCTAAGTACATTGTTGATGAACTTTGTTTGTTTGTTCGCTTGTTTTGTTGATGTAATAGGGGGCAATTAAGAATACGGTGTTTGTTCTAAAATTTTTACGTTCTGAGATGTTATGTACAATTCCATAATTTTGTGCAATGTTCAACCTCTTAAATTGATGAACCTTGTAATTTGAATTTCAAATTCTGCTCTTGGTTATTCAGTAAATTAGTTTTAAATGTGAGTAGACTAATTATGTCTTGTTTCTTGTTCTTGTTCTTGTTCTTGTTCTTCTTGTTTGGACACCAATTTCCCAACTACATTCATATTCTATGAACTTAATACCCTTGTAATTAATTTCCTCTACGATTTCTATGAACTTTGGCCGAAAATTGAAAAGCAAATTCATAGTGAAGTCAGATTTTCCATTCGGTCTACTGTCCCATTTGGCAAATTTTCCCACAATCTGTGGCAGATTTACTCATCTGCTCTGTCTCTAGTTGCTGACTTGGAGAGTTTGCTGCTGTTTTTTTGCTGGTTAATCTTGATAAGTTTTGGACACTAATCTTGATAAGTTTTTTTGCTGGTTAATCTTGATAAGTTTTGGACACTAATCTTGATAAGTTTTTTTGCTCTGTCTCTGGCTGTTGTCTCTGGTTGCTGACTCAAATAAGTTTGTTAATCTGCTGGTTAATCTTGTCAATCTGCTGGTTAATCTGGGTTGGGATGTTTGTATTCATGGTTAATCTACTGGTTGCTTAATACAAGAGTCCAACTGTGATTGGTTGTCGAAGAAATAATGACATTTAAACATCCAATGATGTTTGGACATTTATGTATGTGAGGTTTATGTAAATGTATGTAAATGACGTATTTGAGGTTTATGTATATGTATGTAAATGATGTATGTGACGTTTATTACTCATGTCATTTTGTTATTTTTTTATAGAGGTACCATGGTTCCTGGAATCAAGACGGGGCGGCGGAAGACAACAACAAGTGACAACGTATTATCAGCCTCCGAAGCATGTCCAGCAGTTATTGGCATCTCGTTGACGTTCTCTAATGAGACACAGCCACCAGATGATACACAAACGGTGGTGGAGGAGACGTAGCCAGGTGGCGTGGGTAAGAGCATTGAACTTAGTTGTTTACAATTTTTTTTTCTTTTTTTGGGGGTGCATAAGTCAGGTCTTTAAGGCAATGAAAACCCCATAAACAGAAAGAAAAACAATGAAAATGTGAATGCCTTGTTAATCTGATTGGTAAGGAATGCCTTTGTTAATCTATAGGTTAATCTGTTTGTTAATCTTGTTAGTCAATGTGAATGCCTTAGTGAACACATATCCTGACTATAGTGCCCAACCCTTCAATTCATTTTGTTGGAGATACACTGATTGGTAAGGAACGGATCAGTTGTGCATGGTTATGCAATTATGTCGAAGAAAGGAAAGAGAATCAGATTTTTATCTCAAGTTTAACAGAGGCAACACATGTAATCTTTGGTTGGCCTATAGTTGGTTGAGGTGATATTATAGCTTTATTGTGCTTTACATATTTAAATTAAAATATGTAAATTTTGTTGTACATAAAGTTCATTGATTTAGTTGAGTTCTAAACTTAAAAGAAACCAAGGGCTGTACACTTATAATTAATGGTATTAGTTTGATAGTCAATTATTGTCTCTGCTGTTACAATGCTTATATGTGTTTCTTTTTCTTTTTTTTTTTTAAATGACGCAGCAACCAATACTCGAACATCTTTCATTAAATTTGTTTGTAATTTGTGACTTGTTTCCCCTTTTGTAGCAGGGCGAAAAAGGTCAACTCATGTACGAGGATGTACATTAGGCAAATGAGTGCAAAAAAGAATAGCCAGGAAAAAAGGAGAGAAATTACATGTGTATGTCAATCGGGTGTTGAACGCAATCACAAGAGGGAATGCAACCCCAGCGACGAATGAGCTGGGATTGCAAATTAGACGGTTGTGCCCTCTTCAGAGCGTGAAGTCATGGAGAAAAATCGATCAAAGTACCAAAGATGCGGTCATCCAAGCGGTGCTAGTACGAGATTCATCTTCCCATAATGTCGTTATTATGTTATTTGTAATTGCTTAAATTAATTGATGTACTAATTGTCTTATTATGTTTGTAGGACAAGTTTGTTATCGGGGATGATTTTGACAATGATGAACGAGCTCAACAAATCCTCGATAGAAAGGCATATTTGCTATACAAGGATTAGAGGTACAATCTAAAGCAAGAGTTCCTCGAACTTGAGGAAAAGGGTGTTGATGACCCCTATAGTCATCCACCTAGTGGAGTGAGCTTGGATGACTAGAAATATCTTATTGATGTTGCTTGGAAAGACGAATCTCACTTGGTAAGAAATTAATTAGAAACCCCATTCTTGAAATTCATTTATGTGAATATCAATAAAAATTCTTTACTAATTATTGCTACATGTAATTTTTGTTTTTTTTCTTGTTAGAAATGCTCTAAAGCTGGTAAAGCAAATAGGGGTATGCTCCCCTACAATCATACAAGTGAATCGCGATCATTTCCTATAGCAATGTCGCTTATGGTGAGTAGTAGTTGTTTGTTTAGTAATATAATGGATGATTGATTCTTCTTCATTTTGAATATTACTATGTACTACTTCATCAATGGAATTTTTTCAAACATAATAGGCAAATGAGGATGGAGAAATAGATTTCCCTGAATTTTATAAGAAATCACACAAGTCCAAGAAGACGGGAGACAAGATTGACCCCAAATGTGGTGAGCTACATGTGAGTATTGAATGTTGAAACCAATTTTGTTGCATATCAATTAGTAAAGTTGTTTTCAATTCCTTCAACCATCTTGACTTTATTGTTTTTTTGCCATGACAGGATGATATGGTGAATCTACAAGTCGTAGCCACTGATGCGGGGTTTCCATTGACCCACGAAGAACTATCAAGGCAAGTGCTCGGGGTAAAAAAAAATTACTTGCGTGAATATGGGATAGGCCCACAACCCTCTTCAACAGCTTCCAGTGCGGCACGAGCACGTGATAAACATATGGAGTCAATGAGAGTGGAATTGGAGGTTCTTTGTAAGGAGCATCAAAGAGATCACGAGGAATTGCTGAAGGAGAAAAAGGAGCACCACAGAGATCATGAGGAGTTGCTGAAGGAGAAAGAGGAGCGCCAAAGAGATCACGAGGAGTTGGTCAAGGAGAAAGAGGAGCGCCAAAGAGATCGGGAGGACATTACGAGGGAAAGAGAGGAGCTGATGAAACAAATTGAAGAAGGAAAAAAAGCACGGGAGGCACAACAAGTACAACTCAATCATTTGAATGACGTGGTGTCACGACTCACAACCCTCTTGCAGGGTTCAGATGGTCATCCTACTATTCGGTAAACATAATTTTATTGATAAGCTAATGCAAGTTCTAGAAAAATATGGATCATATTGGCATAGAATTGTTTTCTAAAGTTGCCATGATTTTTTTTTTTTTTTTGTTATGTGCTTCGAATAGGTTTTGAGGCATAATGTGAGTAGACTTTGCAGTAGACAGACCGTAATCTGATTTCCATAAGGTAACCACTTGATTTCAATGAAACATTAAGTTTCCCAAAAGTGGGCCATTTTGGCAGGCAATCTGCCCAACACCTACTTCCTACTTACCTCTGTCACAGTGTGATGTGATATTCATCCTACTATTTGGTGTATATTTTTTTAATGCTTCTATCTACAAGGAATTGTTTAACAATATTTACATTGCTCAAGTATTTTGTTTGCCACGTCTCAATAATTCCACTAAAAAATTGTAATTTTTGTTGCCTAAAAGGGATGCTAATACGTGAATCATGATTTTATTTGGGTTGTAATCAACATAAGTCCGGGTATTTTTCTCCTTTTTGCCCATGTTGAATCCATTGGACAATTACGAGCTTCATTATTGTCATATTGGAAAAATATGTTAGTTCAGTTAATATTAGAGTATCTAGGTTATTTGTTGTCTTACGAAAATGCCATAAAATTAGCCGAAAAAGGCCTTCGAGGGCTGAAAATTGAACGCAGCCCCTGAACCACTATAGAGATGGCACGGATAGTTTCCTCATGTCAAATAGGACCTGTGGGGACATATGGGACGTAATTAGCACGCGTACGTTGGGAGTTGGCGCGAAAAACGCCGTAAACTTAGCCGAAAAGTTTATACCAAGGGCCAAAAATTGAAAGCAGCCCCCGAACCATTGTAGGGATGGCACGTGTAGCTTCCTTGTGTCAAATAAGACCTGTGGGGACATATTGGACGTAATTAGCACATGTATGTTGGGAGTTGGCATGAAAAACACCGTAAGCTTAGCCGAAAATGGCCTTCGAGGGCCGAAAATTCAAATTAGCCCCTGAAACACTCTACGGATGGCACGGGTAGCTTCCTTGTGTCAAATAGGACATGTGGGGACAGACGGGACGTAATTAGCACATATATGTTGGGAGTTGGCATGAAAAACGCCGTAAACTTATCTAGCTCACTTGTGAATAAAAAAATCCCGAGGTAAAGAGAAAAACAGGGGATACCCTTACAAGTTATGTCACCAAAATTTGATGCAGCAAACTAATCAAAATATATTTATAGGACTGACTACAATAAATTTTGCTCCCAAAAGATCGGTAAAATATAAAGTTGTATATGACTCGTAAAGATTAACAAAGGGATTTTCTCTCATAATATCAAAAGCTACATTATCAGCTACAAAGCTACATTATCAAAATCTAGGAAGAGTGCAAGTGACCACGTTAAAAGCTATATTATCAAAGATTGATGATGTGCAATGCTAAAGTATGTTTTTATGTACTAAGTTTTTATGACCAGTAGATAGGTTAGAAACATTAAGGGCATGCAAGTGTTTGGGAGTTCGACAAGGCAAGGAACGACAATAGTTTAGGCTAATCCTGAAATGTGAACAGTATCTGTGAATTTTGGCTCCAATCTATTTCAAATAACTAAGGAATAAAAGTAGGTCATCATCAATAGGTGCATAAAGGTTAGATTTAGTCATGCCATTGTTAGTCCATAACTATGCTTCCTTTGATGTCCCAAAATCAATTGCAATGTACATTGGAATAAAAAGGAAAAGCCTAATCAAATGTTAGATGTGGCACTTGGCATGGATGGCTCAAATCCTGGATGTTAAGATTTCTAATACAACAAATGCAACTTACGATGTCAAATATTAGTTGATACCATCTTTATTTCAGCTCCAAACACAAGTTTCTTCACCATTGAAGAAAAAAGAAACAAAATCATTGAAAATGTATTTATAGGATATGACTTCACTTTATAACAATGCAGAAGATGATAATTCTGCATTGCTAAAATTCTTCGATGACACTTAAAAAAATCTCATCACTTGCAAAGTTTCAGTTTTTTGAAAAATAACGACACTACAGATTTAGGATAGGGTTTTGTGGCAAGACATGTGGGAATGTTCTCAGGTTGTTCGCTCCATAAAGAAACATTCAATTAGCAAGTCAATGCCTATCAGTTTCCAACATGTAGTAGATATACCAACATCAGCAACAAGAGCACAAAACATGAAAGTTAGAAGAGTTAGTTTCACCAAAAGAAGTAGCTGTTTGAAACAAAACCTCCAACCACCCCAATTTTTTTTAGTGGAGTCTACTCGAACAGCGTGGAATTCCAACAAAATAAAAAAATAAAAAAAAGAAAGAAAAATGATGACCCTTTTTTTTTTATGTGAACTTACACCGTCCATGTCCATGCTGGATAACATTTGGCTATACTATGAATAACAAAATACATATTATTCTCTAGAAGTTAACATTTGTCATGTCAAGATAGCCTATTGTACGGGCAGACTTATGAGTATCTTTTCATGTCAACAAGCATCCAGACGCTAGAATAACTATCTTACCACAACATTGAGTCACAATTACCCAAACTAGGTAACTTCTAATCCAGAAGGGCAGGAGAAATGGATTTATAAATGTTCTAAGTAATTGCCATATGAGCAATTTCACTTCTCAATTTATTCAAGCAACTTAGATGACAGCTACGCTGGGAGTTGGCATGAAAAACACTGTAAACTTAGCCGAAAAAGGCCTTCGAGGGCCAAAAATTCAAATCAGCCCGTGAAGCACTCTACGGATGGCATGGGTAGCTTCCTTGTGTCAAATAGGGAAGGTGGGGATAGATGGGATGTAATTAGCACGTATACGTTGGAGTTGGCGTGAAAAATGCCGTAAACTTAGCCGAAAAAGGCCTTCGAGGGACGAAAATTGAAAGCAGCCCCCGAACCACTATAGGGATGGCATGGGTAACTTCCTTGCATCAAATAATGCCTTTGGGGACATATGGGACGTAATTAGCATGTGTACGTTGGGAGTTGGCGTGAAAAACACCATAAACTCAGTCGAAAAAAGGCATTTGAGGGTCGAAAATTGAAAACAGCCACCGAACCACTTTAGGGACGGCACGGGTAGCTTCCTCTGTCAAATAGGACCTGTGGGGACATGCGGGATGTAATTAGCAGGCGTACGTTGGGAGTTGGCGTGAAAAACGTCGTAAACTTAGCTGAAAAGTTTATATTGAGGGCCGAAAATTGAAAGTAGCCCCCGAACCACTGTAGGGATGGCACAGGTAGCTTCCTTGTGTCAAATAAGACCTGTGAGGACATACAGGACGTAATTAGCACATTCACGCTGGGAGTTGGCGTGAAAAGCGCCGTAAACTTAGCCGAAAAGGCCTTTAAGGGCCGAAAATTCAAATCAGCCCCTGAAGCACTCTACGGATGGCACGAGTAGCTTCCTTGTGTCAAATAGGACATATGGGGACATGTGGGATGTAATTAGCATGTGTACGTCGGGAGTTTGTGTGAAGAACGCCGTAAACTTAGTCGAAAAAGACCTTCGAGAGCCGAAAACTGAAAGCAACCCCCGAACCACTGTAGGGATGGCATGGGTAGCTTCATTGCTTCAAATAAGACCTGTGGGGACATACAGGACATAATTAGCACATATACATTGGGAGTTGGCATGAAAAAGGCCATAAACTTAGCCGAAAAGGCCTTTTGGGGCCTGAAATTCAAATCAGCCCCCGAAGCACTCTATGGATGGCACGGGTAGCTTTCTCGTCTCAAATACAACTTGTGGGGACAGATGGGACGTAATTAGCATGTGTACGTTAGGAGTTGGTGTGGTAAACGCCATAAACTGAAAATTGAAAGCAGCTCCCGAACCACTGTAGGGTTCCTGTAATTTTCTTTTGGATCAATATGCTCGGCATGAAAGAAGTGCGGAAGCAATAGAAGCTGCTTTTGAAAAAATACAAATGGCAAGTTTCATAAATAAGAAGAAAACAAAAATCAACTTGAAAAGCAGGTTAAAAAAGAAAGTAGAAGAGTCTCCACCTTGGGTCAAGAACTTGCTCAGTTTTGTGGAAGTTCCTCCTACTGCAATTATCCTTAAAAGATTATTCCTCTTTCCATTCATGGCTGGCTGGAGTATCACGAATTCTGCTAAAAGTGGGCTTGCTTTCCAGGTTTGTTTTCATCCTTATTTTCAATCAAAGTCTCTTTTCTTAATTCCCTCATAGTCTGCAGAAAATCTTGCCCTTACAAATTTTTTGTTTTTTATTTTCACTTTCCAATGCGTCTTTAAATCATTAAAGGTTTTCTGAACAATTGATGTCTGGAGTGGCTAGACAAGTCTGCTTATCTAGGGTTTACTGTTTTGACTCTGAATATTAAATTCTTAGAAAATTCAATGA